ATGTCGGAGTGCCCTCTGGATTTATCTCATCACTGTGTGCGATTGGAGGTGGGGGAGGGTTAATGACACATGGTGCATGTTGTGACTGATGAACATCGGAGGTTGATGTCCGTTGACTGGATGTGTAGATATCAAAAACTTGTACTGCTGCTCATTCATTAGTAAAAATGGATAGCAAACTTTATTTTTACAGTGGAAAGACTTGGCCGTGGCCAGACTCTGGAACAGCAAAATTGTTACGCAAAAACAAACAAAAAAAGATTTATCACACAAAAAGTTAAAAAGTTAAAACAATGAAAAAGTCCAATTCTTGGGAAAATACAGAAAGTTGTTTAACTGTTGAGGATGATGTTATATGTCTTATACTAAACTATAATCAGCACAAAGACTAAAAACAAGGTTAGCCAAGGAAATTAGCCTATCAGCACCTCTAAAGATGCTGTGATCTGTTACTCTGCACTAAAACTGAAGTATAAACTCAACAAATTTTTCTGATTGGTTACAGGCCAAAGCAGTTATGAGATCATTAACTTTCTGGTGTGTCTGGTGGTGGCTTTGGCAACTGTTCCTCACCAAGACATAACGCAGAGCACAGAGTAATCCCTTGTAAAACAGGGAATTGTTTTGTTTTTACTCTTTGGATTTTGTGCAGATTAAACAAACTAAATCTAAAGTGTTAGTGAGCTTTTGGAGTGACGGGAGGACAAATTTGTTATTAGACAGAGCTGCACTATTAATCTTCCCATCTTGGCAAGAATAAGCATATTTCACAAAACGTCAAACTATTCCTTAGAGCTGTATAAAACCTGAAACCTGCATCCTATCTGTAAACTGTTTCATTTAGACTTTTCCTTACTGACGTGGTACCTTTGTTGTAAATGCCTTCTTCTCTGTCCTCTCTGCAGGTTCTGGAGCGTCTTTTCCAGAAAGGTTTCAGCGTGGCAGCATCATGCGGAGGCGGCGTGGACTCGTCCCAGTTTAGCGAGTATGTGTTGTGTCGTGAGGACCGGCGAAGTCTCTCCATTAACACACCCATCAGGATAAAACAAGAACCCCTGGACTAGAGCGTTCTGGGCGAGGGACTGCCAACACCCCCCACCTCCCCCTAATACTTCTTCCATCTTCTCACACCACCCCACCCCTGCCTACTCCAACTCCCTTCCTGCCCTAATAGGACCACAACCACCCCCAACATACCTAAGTATTAGCAGAGGCTTGTTAACCTCACCAGTTCTCTGCAAAAACTCTAAGGGGAATGTAGTACCAAACAAAGGAAAAAAAAAAAAGCATCAGCAACAAAAGTTTTTAATTATGTTAAACAACGCCCAAAGAATCTGGGACTGTGATGAAAACAACAATGACAAACGGACACCACAGCAGCTGACAGCTCAACATTTTAGCACAGTGACTGGTTGTTTTTTTCCCCTTACCTTGTCATAAAAAGGTGTCCCAAGACTCTTGGAGGGACACAGTTTTCCCCCCTCCCATGCCTTGAACTCCAATCCACTTCATCATCAGCTACCACATACACCCCAACCCTCTATCTTTTGTTTCGTCCGTGTCCGTGTGTGAGGCCTCAGTCTTCTCTGACTGGTGACAAGTCTGGTCTATTGTGGGACAAGGAAGATTTGGCAGACAGGATGTTTTTAAGGATGACAACAAGAGGACATGATTTAATGTTGTGAACTCCCACCCCCTCTCCCACAAACCCCCAAGATCCCATGACCCTCACCCCACAGGCCTGGCTTCAACTGTCAGGACCTTGCCAAACACGACATCGTTTGCCAACTGATTGTTTATTACAATTTTTCATTGTTGTTTCTAAAGTATGTTCTTCTTGCTCCTTTTGCTGTTCTTATCATGACATAGTGTAAACAATTATTATTAATAGGATTATTTTTAATGTCTCTTTTTTTCTTTCTCCAATATGAAGGATGTATGAAAATTGTATTCATTAGGCTCTGAGAGCTTGTGAGGGAGCTTTTCTTGGCAGTAGCTGCAGAAACTCAGATGTCTGCAGGCTATGTGGCTAAAGCAATCTGACTGGCAATGCATTCAGAGCCAGAAAAAGTCCCATTGTTCGAACCAGAATGGAAGAAAACCTGGATGTTTTGACATTGTTTTTAGTCAAATGTGTAGCGCACATGAAAAAAAACGAAGTGCGCCAGAATTTCTGCTTATTAGCTCTAAAACATATCTCGGGTCTCTGATTGGATTCTCTCACACGAGCACAAAGGATTTGTTCACACTTAGTTAAAGAACATTTGTAAATTTGAAATTCAGGTCAAATTTGCACACGCTCCGAGTGTATTGCAGTTTTGTTGAGTTAGAATGTTAAAGACTTGAGGACCAACGGAGAAAGCTGACGTTTACCAGTAGATCTCATAATCAGCACGAGATGTACTTTAAATGCTAAATGTTTCTTTGCACTTCAACATTTCCAACAGAGCTGCTCTGACCTGCTCCCTCAACACACTTGCTGGAGTCCAGTGAACGGCACCAAGTCAAGCTGATTCTCTTCTCATGTTTTAGGAGACTGTGACATTAAACTATTTAAAAACAGAAAGAAAAAAAAACTCCAACTGAACAAACACTCTGGTACCAAAGTAGACAAGGTGCCTGTTTTGTTGATTGTACAAATATAAAGATGTTCTTTGTTGCAGTTTATAGCAAAATAAGACTAAATGCATTATTCAGAGCTGTATGAAGGGTACCAATATTTGATCCTCCAGGCTGCCAGGCTTGACAGCTTTCTTGAGAGTAGCTCACAGAACCTCCAGAGCAAGTTTGAAAGACAAGGTCTCTGTTTCAGAATTGTCACTTCTAAGTGAAGATTATTTCATCGGTTCTTCACATGTATGTATGGCAGAACCCAAACTGAACTATACTCACAGCATCAGCATATTATTCACAAAGAGGCGTGTGGGCGGCATTTACTCTCTCCTGCTCTCGTTCTTTTGGTCTTATTCTCAACATTTCTGGATCAAAGACAGAAACAAGAAAGGCCAAGTTTTCATGCTTTATATTTGTGTGTGACTTACAGATGCTGTTTCTTCCATTCCAAACGACTGAGGAGAAAAAAGAAGCCCATTCTGATCCTTGTGGGTGCTGGCAGTTTTTTGAGTTAAACTGGGGTTGTTTTTAGCAGTCCATTAAAAATGGGCGGTGGTTGTTCAAACTATGTTGTTTGTAATAGAATATTTAGTTTTTCTGGATGCTGCTGATTAAAAGAGGCCAATTAGTGGGTGAAGATGGACTGAGTTTAAGTGTTGCTTCAAGTCAAATGCAGTCCTCCCTGCGGGTCTTTTAAAAAAAATATATACAATCAAGTCCTTTGTTCTGACCTGCCAGTGGCCTGCGCCTTTGTATCTAGTCGCCTCAAAGGGAATGGTCAACCAGCCCTTTCATGTGCCAAGGCATGTTGGGCGCTTTACAGTCATCTTCACCCCCCTCTGCTTCCCTGAAGGCTCCAAGCTCAGTGGTGCCAGTAGAAACACGGGTTGTACCCCCTGCTGCTGTGTCATCCCTCATGCTCCATTTTCAAAATGCCCTCCTACGCCATAGCTCATTGGACCACACCACAGCAAACCAAACAAACTGATGAGTCAAAATACGAACATACTCGGAGCAGACTGTACTGTGCAGCCCGTCCACTTTACTGTGGTGTAGATGCGAAGATCTTTGATTCATGTGATATGAGGTGTGGAACTCCATCTGGGTAGTTTCTTGAGGAAGAGTGGTAAAAATCAGTGATCAGTGTTCTAAAACTACACGTACAAGAACAACTTTTTCAGGAAGGAGGAAAAGAAAGCAGTTTTAGTTTGCCTCCCTGAAGTGGCACGGTGAATTATACAATGGACTCTAAACAACTTCCGAGAGCTAAGAGGTTACGCATTTGAAATAAAAAATAAATAAAGATTTGTATTTGTGAGAAAAAAAAAGAGTAGATATGGGTTTCTGCAATAAAACCTCAGTATAGAAATAGCAGGTTATCTACAGAGACAGGAACGTGTAATTGGACTGGAAAGTTCATAGACATGTTCACACGCCACCCATTAAGTAAAAATACTGGTCAGTGTTCAGCCTGTCCACACGGCATTTGCTCCACTTCTGAGGCGGGTCAGTTGTACAGTTATTGTAAATTGAATTATCAGGACGCTGGGTTTTATGGGACCCTCGTGTTTTTAAGAGACATCTCAGTCCTCTTCAGAAAAGAATGAAAAGAATTCAAAGCGTAACATTGTGTAAATATGGATTAAAACATTTCAAAGGGTATAATAAGGTGCAAATGTATATTATTTAAAGTGTTTAAAAACCATTAGACTGTGGTATTAAAGGGCATGTGTTCATTTGCAGTGTCTCCATTTGACTTTTCTTGCATATTTGCGATAATAAAAGGATGTACTGTATATCTGACATGTGTCACATTGCTCTCATGTTTTTGAACAACCCCCATAGGATGAGAAATTTCAACTGTGTTTCCTCTCTCACTGAACTGATGCAATCTCACCAGCCTTTCTCTACCCGGGCATGTGTGTGCTCCCCGTTCATCATTTTTGCAAAGGGGGAAGGTCGTCTTCAGGGCTGAATGGGCCGAGATCCTGAAAAAACCAATATGCTCCTAAACCCCAATATTTTGCACTGAGTTAAACGGTTTGGTCTTTTCGAAAATGCTTCTGCTTAATTAGCAGCAGAAACCTAGAGGGACTTTTCATAGTTGAGCAGCAGCGCTTGACTCAGTTTGTACTTAGCATGTGCAGTGTTAGAAATGGAAATGAAGCAGGCTGAATTAGTAGTTGACTTTGGTAAAAAAAAAACAAAAAAAAACAGCATAGCTCATTCTCCCTTGAAAATCTAAGAGGTGAACACATTGCTTAGTTGTTTTATTATTTGCATTTAGAGACATTTTAGAGTAAAAAAACTCCTACCTACAAAATATGTTTATGCATACGCTGCTAGAATGATACAAAGAAGAAACTGGAAAAAGTCGTCTTTTCAGTTTAGTAAACAGCTTATTTATTCCTTTACAAAATAGGTACAAATACATAAGTATTGTTTTTCACACAAACAGGAAATTTTCAAGATATATACAAGAGTTTACCAAAAATAACGTGGTTCTAATAAACACATAGTTTTGTAAACAATATTTACAAATCATCCTTACACTGAAATGTATTTCCTCCATCTGTTTACACAGGAATATTGTCCTAATATTTTGGCTAAAAAGCTGTAGTAGTAGTTGTTGTTGTTCTAGGAGTAGTAGTAGCAGTAGCAGTAGAAATGCCCTCCTGTGAAACGACCGGAAACCATAGAAATAATTCATAAAATCATCTGAAATCACTACAATAAGTACTGTTGTGCTTGTTTTTAAAACATGGCATTTTAGAGATAAAGTTTATGAAAATGTGTTGAGCATAAAAGCCAATCTAATAAAAAAAATTAAAAAAAAAGCAGAACAGAACAAATATATTAATTGTTAAAAAATAAGTGTCTTTTGACAGAAAGTGGCAAATACTGTTTCTTTGCTATAATACAATGACAGCTTTCAGTTGTCAGGTAAAATAGATATCAAAAAAGTGCCGTCAAAATTTACAATGCACGACTTTTGCAAATGTCATCCATATTTAAATAAATTTCAATATGACAAGAAAAGCTGCATAGAGGCCAAGATGTTTAGTTAAATAGAGAAAACAAACAACAACAAAAACCCATAATGAATGCCATTACATAACACATTAAGGAATGGGGGGGATGAAAGTAATATGACGAAAATGCAAGACATGTAAAAAGGACTTTCTGGTCAAATAGTGTTCTTCGGTCAGTGATATTGCAGAAAAGACAACAACAGAAACAAATCAGAGCCGCTTGCTTCAGTTTACCATTAGTTTGCTCCTGTGACATTATATTTTAGATCGAATGTCACACAAATATAAATGTTGTGCACTAAAACATCTCATGGATTAATTTGGCCTTTCAATTAATATCAAAGTGAGGGTGTGGGTTGCTTTGAAATAGTTAAAAAGTGTTTTTGCCAAACATCAGTAATGTGCAGAAAGAACTATGAACGTGGAAGATAGAGGAATGTCTGTTTTCATTCTCCCATGCCACTGATGCATCTAGAATAACAGCAAACTTCAAAAATCGACCTTCATAAACCATTACTGTGGGCATGATACCATAAGACAAACAGCTAGTCATAAAACAATGTTCACATTATGTGTTTAAAAAAATACTGACTCACTCAACAAGGGAAACCAGTCTGAAACTAGTGTCACATAGTGCCGTATGTGTTTTTTGTTAAATGACCTTTCAAGAAGGCTCAAGAAGAGTCTACTTTGTAACAACACTCTACAGAATATACCATCTAAATTTGACTCTTTCAAAGCACATGGTTGTACAAAACATCAGGTTTCATAATATTGACACGTGGATTATTCCTTTTCTTACAAAGCTTACATGTGATAAAAATATACATGCTGTAAAATAATTCAAAAAGAACTATTTACACATATAGTAAGGAAATTGAATTTACTGCTGTTATTTGGAATCTGGATGTTTCAGAATCATGAGTTGGTCTAGAAATCTGTAAAGTCACACTTATTAGGTTCAGCTAGACTACATTCATTGAACTGTGTTCAACAAATAACTCATGGATAATATTGTAGGCTGTATCAATATGCTATTATATTTTCTTAGCCAAGGAAATTTCTACTTTAAGGTGGTTCACTGAAGCTTCTGCCAAGAATGTCAAACAAACGTGGAAGAAGGTCTTGGTCAAGTCCTGTGACGTAAACACATCGTTCCTCTGGCAAATCCAACTTCAGCAATAGGAAATGATGGGGCCCTTAAACTGAATGATCTAACTACACACTGTGAAGCTAAAGGAGAAGACACGGAACACCGGTTTTATTTTTATTCTTTTTCTGTCTATATCTCTCTCACTTTCTTTCTTGTTATTAAAAGCTACATCAAACATCACACTACAACACATATGGAGACACAGAGCTGAAACATTAGACCTGATCTGAAGGCACGTGGCTGGGAAGGAGGAGGAGGTGGTTGAGGTGGGCGCTGAGCGGAGCAGAGGCTACTTGAGCAGGGCACGGTAAAGGAGGAGCGAGTGGGCGGTCTCTCTCTCCTGCTCCATGTAGAAAATTAAGTCCCTGAGGTTGACACGAGTGATGCGCTGCCGTGTATACTGGCGTGATGAGGTGGATGGGGCGGATGAGCTGGCTGGGGAGCCTGCCGTACTGCCGGAAACCTGGAGACAATGCAGAGGTCGAAAGGTGAAATGAAATAACTCATACGATATGTGGATGCTTTTCATCAAGTGCTATATTATACATGTAAAAGCCAGGTTCTGCAGTTCTGCAGCAGTAAAACAGTAAAACCCTCATCCAATTTAAGTAAAAGCGCTAAACACTTCAAGGTCATCTCCTTGTGCAGCCATACACTGTTCCCAGCACTCCAGCTACATTGGGATTGCTGCCGTTTTGAACCCTTTTATTTTTGCATTTCAAACTTGTACCGAGAGCTAACATCATCTTTTATACCATAATGGTTCAGCTTTCATATTGAGGTTGAGAGCTACATCTCGACAAGGCAAACTTGCTAGATTTTGTTTCTTGTGACTTCTTCCCCTAAAATAAAACTCAAATTGAAAGGTCTCTTTTATGACACAGTGGATCCATGCTTTCTAAACAAATGCAACGTGCATCTT